CGGTGATAGACCCAATTCCCATTTCCCGTCCCTCTTTCTGATGGGGAGTACTAAGACTTTGTCCCCTTTTGGTAAGCTTATGTGGTACATTCCTTTTTCAATGAGATGACGTATCTTTACTCGTTTGGAAACACCTGCTTCGTCTGTATTGAGTGTCTCTTTCTCCTTCCTTTGTTCGGTTATTTCAGCGTGCACTATTGGCTGGGTACGAGGCGGGGGAGGGGGGACATCAGTGTCTTTAGGTTGGTCAAGCGTTTTGTCGACCCGTTCTGATGTTTCAGGTTGGACCGGTGCTCTTGTTGTTTTTGTTGTTTCGGGAGGCTGGAATTTTTGGTGAACAATATTCCAGATTCTGTATAATGCTGATTGCTAGTCCAGGTTGGGGACAGGCCTTGCTCTAAGGTTTGTTTCAAGCTGGGGTTTTCATCTAGCAAGGAGAATAACTGTACGTAAGCCTCGTCCCAGTACACTTCTGATTGGCCTGAATATAATGATCGAAGGTGAGTAATTAGCCAATCTGCCAGACCCTTTAGCTTAGTCTCAGTATCTCCGTCTCCTTGAGACCCCTAGGCCTCAGGTGTGCTATCCATCATCTCCTCATCGGAAGAGGCCCCCGGGGCTTCCCAGTCCATGGGCTGGGGTCCGAAAGCTTGAGAGAACGGGTCTGTTTTAGAGGGAGATTCTCCTATGGCAGTCCTGGTTTCAGTATCAGACGGGATGGCATTAGGAGGTTGTTCTTTTGGGCTGGCGTCCACTACTGCGGCCGGTTATAAGATCCTTTGTTGGTTCTCCACTCTTCCCTCCCCTTTCTCCTTTCCTTCTTCCACCACCCCATCTTTTCTCTCCGTGTTTTTTACCCGTACCTGAGTCTTTTTTCCTCCTTCCCCCTCCGTAGGGCTGCTTTGCGCTGATTCTCCGGGCCCCTTCTCCATAGGAGCTTGCCCCCGTTATTTGGAGAGTCTACAATAGCCTGAAATCTGTTTTCTGAATTCTTGGGATTGCCTCTTTTGCTCAGGTTTTGTGGCTTATCATTCTTGCTTGAGTGTGCTTGTTTCTTTGGGGATGGGGAATGCCATAGTTCTCCCGTTTCTGTCGGGGTAATGAAGTCCTGAGGTCTGGGTTCAGGATGCTGCTCAGTCCTGGGTTCAGGATGTTGCTCAACTTGTGACTGTGCTGGCTTCTCAGGGACCACGGGGGGGGGTTTGGTGGCTCTGTCCATATGCACTTCCACCTGTTTGTGGGGGATCCATTGCTCGGGGGGTTTGGTATCCCATTCCACAACCTCTCCTTTTTTCCACTCCCAGCCCCTCACTCCTCCTTCCTTTCGCGGCTCATCCACGTATACCCAACCCTCGTGACCGGCGTCGACCGTCCTCCACCAAGTGTCTTTGAGCGGGTCCCGGATCAGGCGGCCAGTGGTTCTGATCTTCTTGGCCGGGTGGTGGGGGCAGTCGGATTCCATTGGGAGATGGCCGTAAGCCTGGCATTTAAAACACCAAGGTCTCGTTTTGTGTGACGTGTGTATTCTGAAGTCTCGTCCACCTATTCGGAAGAGGATCACATCGTCAATGGTGAAGATGTGACCCTTTGGAAGGTCAAGGGCTATCATAAGGTAGTCATCCCTTGGGGTCACATGGGGCGGGAAAGGGTCAATGAAGTCCACAATATCATATTTCTGGGCTAACTCTTGCACAAAAGCCCCTTGGATTTCAATGGGCACATGACGAAATTCCACCCAGTAATGATCGTACATTAATTGGTCCCCCTTTTCCTCTGGTTGTTGCTGCTTTGGGGGAGACCAGGGGAAGATCCGGACCTCCGACCGTCCGCATGGTATGCTCCTCCATGTGTCTATGATTCTTTTGTCTGAATCAAACATGCAGATCACTGTGACCACCGTGGACGAGATAGGTTGAATCAGGAAGAAGTCTCGCGCCCCTTCCTCAGATCCTTTAAGGGTCGCAAGTCTTTTCCTGATCCACCCCACCTTCAAGTTGTCGTTGGTCGATTTGTAGGCCGCGTCATCGTAAAAGACCCACGTGCTCGCGTGGCGAGTATATATAGCATCCCTTTCCCTTATCGCTTCTCCTGGAAGTGCTTTCACCCTTTGCTTTTCCCCCCGTTGACTGATTATCCTATCCTCCGGTTTTGCTAGAAATTTCGCTAGGAAAAGGGTTGATGATGTGGTCAGATTGTCCAAAGGGATTTCTAGATTGCTCTCCCCTTCTCCACCCCTTTCGACTGACAAGGTCTGGCCAGAGTAAACTCTTTTTAGCTTGTCGGCCCATGTGGGCCTGTCAGTGACTTCTCTTCCCTCCTGTAGACTTTGCATCTCCTTCAGCAATACTGCAGGGGAGTGGGGGGGGCAGGAGGATGATGCTTCAGCCATGGTAGCATCCTCCTTCCTCCCTTCCTCTCGCCGGGGCCGCCAATCAGACGAGTGGTGCCTCATGGCGCCATGGTGCCAGATCATCCGTGGCTGCCCCCTCTCCCCTTTCTGGCTTCATTTTTGAGACTCGCCATGTGTTCTATGGGTGGTATAACGAAGCTGACAAAACTAATGGCTAAACTGGCAGTGTTATGGCCAGGTTGACAGTCTAGTCGGTTCTCTGATATCCTAAAAAAGGGGGTCGGAGCAGGAGACGAGCAGAGCCATAGACTCGATCAGGGGGGGATGGATGTAGACGAGAAAGGATGGATGTAGGACGGGGATGCAGATGGTCAGGAACGATCGGGAGGAGAAGGGAGGTTGGGACAGGAAGACGAAATGGTCAGGGGGAATCAGGGGGGGGGGATCAGGATGGGCAGATGGGCAGGGAGGATCTGAGCAGATCGGGACTGAGGAGAAGCGGGGGGGTCGGGACGAGATCCGGATGGGCAGACGGGCAGGGAGGATCTGAGCAGATCGGGACTGAGGAGAAGTAGGGGGTTCGGGACGAGGGGAGACAGATCGGGACGAGGGTGAGACTGAGCGGGGGGGAATCAGCG